CGTGTCGTCGTCGTCGTCGTGGTCGTCGTCGTCGTCGTCGTCGTCGTCGTCGTCGTCGTCGTCGTCGTCGTCGTCATCGTTATCCTCGTGATTGCCAAGTGGACGGAGGACGGATGGTTCGCTTCGCAATCTACACAGTTTCCTCGCATTTGTCCGTATTTATGACGTTTATCGCAATCGCGTTCTCTCGCTCTGTGCCCTCATGTCAATTCTCCCGCAGTGCATAATCCGCCAAGAGCTTATTACCTTGATAAAATGCACGAGCATTTAAAGCTCAGTACATTTTTACAATCTCTCTCTCTCTCTCTCTCTCTCTCTCTCTCTCTCTCTCACTCACTCTCACTCACTCTCTATGCCCATTTTGCGGTTGTTTGTCTATGGGCAATTCCAATTTCGAGGATAAACTTATATTGGTCGACTAGTATCTAAGATTTATTCGTCTCTTAACAGAGCCCGTAATTATCAATAATATTTCAATTAATGGTGCTTATTATTAATGCTCGTAAGATAAAATTGTACGAGAATCATAAAAAAAAAATTAATGCTGCAAAAAATTTGTAAATTCGGATTATTGCATTATTCCTTGACATAAAGTAGCTTGTATCATTGAAAGTTAACTAGTATAACAATAATTAGCTAATTAGCTAATATATATATATATATACATGTATGTATGATAGAAACCGGAGACTCATTTTAATTATAAAAATTAGAATTTTTTAAATAATTCTGACGTACGGGTGTCAAATTTACGCTAAGGAAGTGACTAATCAAGTAAAATTGTGTTTTATTTCGGCATGTTTTCAAAGTCATAAATTACACGCCATATTATAATCTACATTTACTAACAACATTTCTCTATTTAATTGTCCACAAAAAAATAAAAAAAAAAACAAAAAAAAAAAAACGTCGCCGTTTTGGGCAAATTATCTTTAATTTTAATTTATTCCTTCTTTATTGTAAAGAAATGACTATATATTTTTTAGTACTACTAAAGTACTGCCTTCTTTGACCATAATACCTAAACTGATTATTTACCTAAACTATTTACCATAGCAAACATTTTTTGAAATTCATTAACGGTTTTCCTACTGAACTTATTATGATACTAATACTAACCCAATAAATAACACTAATATTAATAATTATTAAATTTATGCAAGAATTGCAACATTATCATAAAGGTTATCTTGCATCGATCGTCTAAATATAAAATTGTCAACGACTCTTTAGTCAAAATAGACAGCTGCTTTCCCTATAATAATCATATTGAGACTGTAATAATTATTTTTTATGCTCTGTTACATCGTGTCGGTTAATAAATTCGAATTGCCGAAGAACAAAATAATAAAATTGAAAATTTCGCAATTTGGCTTGGTAAATCGTCTTTGACAACGCCTGGGACCTAAGAAAATAGGCTGACTCGACCTTAATCGTACGAGGGCACGGAGATTCTCTTGGGAGGAAAAAAAATTCAGAGAGCAGAGCATTAATTATTCACGCACATGTACACATTCATTCATTCATTCTCTCTCTCTCTCTCTCTCTCTCTCTGTGTGCTTTTGCCGCCCCTCCCTTGTTTCGGCGAATAAAGTTTCAAACTGCACGTGTCGCAAGTGCTTGCTCGTGTGAGTGAGGCGTACGTGCGAGGCTTGGCCGCCGCAGGAGGAGTACTTCGCCGTGATCATACACACAGCTACGCACGAAGTCAGTAGTTCATTATCACCGTCGTCATCGTCATCATCATCATCGCCGTTGCAGTATACCACCGTCAACGCTCTAAAAACACGTCGTTACGGTGTCTTCCCTTCTCTCCCCGAGTAGAGTCACCGTGTGCACGCACGCGCGCACGGGCGACTCTATGATCCACGGACACGACCCCGTCCTCTCGTGCTCTCCCCGGTCGTGGTTCGATCGATACGCCATTGCGATGCGTCTTGCCAAGTAAATCGCTCTTCGTCGTCGTTTGGTTCTCCTCGCCAACTCCCTCGACGCTCATTCTACTCGGCTCGCGACCTCTCTATACTCGTGGCTGTGGTGGCGAAGCTGGCGGTGGCGAAGCTGGCGGTGGCGGTGGCGGTGGCGGTGGCGGTGGCGGTGGCGGCGGCGGCGGCGGCGACGACAGCGGCGACGGTGGTGGCTGCGGCTACAGCTGCGGCGTTCGTGGTGGTGGTGGTGGTGGTGGTGATGGAGGTGGCGGCCAGTACGACCGCCCCAGCTCCCTCCTAGCCCCGTTCCTACCGCCCCCATCTCTAGCGATCAGCTCGACTCAACGGGGTGGGAGGCAAGCAACGCTCGGCGTT